AAAAATATTGACTCTGTTAAACAAAAGATACATTGTGATACCTAATCATATATAAGATGCATAGTGATACCACTGTGTTACATCTTCGATCGACCACACAARYRACATCAATGTGATACCCAAGCACATATATGATACATTATGATACCATGTAGTATCACCGGAGGACGATGGCCGAAGAGAGAAGAGATGAGGGATGAAAGTTTTAAAATACCAAAAATATCCTTGCATTAATATTTTWWTTCAAAATTGCCAAAATTATAAATTTCCTAATTTATCTATTGATTTATGGTTAATAGTGGTTCTCACAGTTACTACAAACTAATTAGTTCTTATTTGATTAGGTCCCTATATATATATATATATATAAAATGGGTCAAAACAGCTTTGCTCATCGTCACCTTTCATATCCCCCAATTATCTCACGCATCAATCAACATTCCCACGTGAACCCCATAACCTTTCCTTTTCTAAAATCTCCCCCACCCTAGTAAAAGGATTTTTCTTTTTCTTTCTCTCTCTTTGTTTATATATATATAGATATAGATATAGATAGATAGAGGTAGACAGACCCACATGAAATGCTATGGTATTATGGACCATCATTTCATCAAGATAAATTACATTTTTAAAAGGTGTTATTGTATTATTTGTCGGGTGTAATTATTTAGCTATTTTTTGTCAATCGATAAAATTCAACATTATTATTTATTTATCGGATAAGATTTTAGTCAATAAAAACTACATCATATGTAGGAATTTTCCTAGTAAGCACTAATCGTGATATAAGTGGTTGCCCTCACTTACCGGGTAAAACTCTAGATCGTTGCATCGTTCTTATCCAGTAAAATTCTTGGTCGTTGCTATATTTATCCGGTAAAGTAATGTGACTTAGGGGCAGAGTCAGTCCTAAGATTTTTGATGACCTGTGCGAAAAAAAAAAAAAATGTTCTTAAGTCTATTTTTTTAAGTCAATGAAAAAACGAAACATGCGATTTTTTAAAGACTTTAGAACCTATTCAAACTAAGTATCTCATCCCGATGTTGAATTTTATTAATTAAAAAATACAATGGAGGGGACATAAAAACCAAAACCCCAAATACAAATTATAAAATGATAAATTCTGGATTAAGATTGTGCTTCCTTTTTTTCCAGTTTTCTCTTTTCCGAAATTGAAATTAGCAAAATAGAAACTTTATTTCAATATATGGAACTTAAAAGACAAAGAAAACTATAATTAGTTTTTAACTAAAATATAGTAAGCAAATTGTAAAACTTAAAAGTTACACGTCTAACGACTAAAAACTAAACGCTTATCTATTAGCAGCTTAATAAGTTTAATGGAACTAACAGTTTATTCACTCAACTATGCATGATGATTTGTAGTGGCTTAATGATATAGAAAGTAACTTATCCAATAACCTTCTAGGGGGAGCTTTATATAGAAAGCCAATTTTTTTTTCAAACATGTCATTTCCAACTAAAAAAACGCTCTTTACATCTGCGAAAAAACTCTCCGAAACAAAAACTCTTCCAACTTATACAAACAGATTAATTCATACAGACAACTTTATACAAACAAAAACTTTTTCAAATTTCCAACTTTTTCCAACGATATGCATTCAGTATTCATCATTACTAGGCCTTGGACCTGTTTTTATAGTCAAAAGTTCAGTTGTTCAATTCTCAAATTTATAAACTTAAAACTAGTAATAAATGACAATTTGATACCCCTTTAGGCTTTGATGCCCTATGCGGCCGCACGGGCTGCACGTGGCCAGGGTCGGCCTTGCTTAGGGGACGTTTACCAAACACTTACCTGATAAACATTTACGGGTAAAATTTAATACTATCCTTTACTTATCGGGTAAGATTTTAGTCCACAAAAGCGACATCGTGGTAAGAGTCGTCGCCTTCACTTACTGAGTAAGATTTTTGGTCTTTGTCTCGCTCTTACCGAGTAAGATTTTTGGTCTTTATCATATTTATCCAGTAAGGTAATGTGACTTGGTAAGCGCGTACTTGGGTAAACATTTGGTAACGACCCCTTAGTAAGTGCTTACCAGAGTAATCATTTGGTAAACGGCTCCTCATTTTTGAAACTGAAATATTAATATAATACTTTAATTGTTGAGATGGTAAATATTCTTATATTTGTATAAAATCCCCAAGTTCAAGTCTAACGGTGGTCAAATTTGTTGTTTTTTAGTTTAAAATTAGTTTCTTTTATATACATCTTGTGTTTTGAAGCAAGACTTTTAACAATAGATGTCAATCTCTATAAGCAGAAATTTGAATACTCATGCAAAATTCAAGTATAGCATTTCAACATCCAAATATTGTAATAAGATCTACTGGTCTAACATTTTCAAAAATGAAGAGGTAGAGGAAAGGTCGACATATAACTGGAATATATATACTGGGTTTGTTTCTTTGCTTTGGTTTTAATAAGATTCAAAATAAGAACCATAAAGTTTTGCCATAAAGTTTTGCATGCTCAAAATTTGTGCAATGTTGTGTATGGCAATAAAAGCTAAGCAATCAAAACCATTCAAAAAGTCTAAAAAAGGCAACACCATGCATCTTTATGAACTTTTATTTCAAATATTATACGGGAACACTCTACAGGCCTAGTTGTGATCCAAGTTCTGAAGACAACTCTGATACAAGAAGGTAGCACAATGCAACATTGAGAATATCATTTGTGATCCAGGTTCAATCTTTTTTTTTCCTCACACACTTTTTCGAAAGACGGGTGCCCCTAAATGGGATATACCGGGATAGTTTGGTTGGTTTGGTGACCGATGGACCATGTCTCGGTTGCAACCTTAAAGGAATACCAACTTTTGTTAATTCAAAAACATGAAAATCAAAATTAATGATGCTTATGGTAATTTATACATATAGAGACATAATTTGTACATTTCTTTATATTTGTCAAGTTACGTCCAAGTCTTTTTTATAATATATAAAGGTTTTTTATAATATAGCACAAATTCTTACATATTTATGATATTTTAAATATTGTTAAATCCAAAAATATTCAATAATACGAGAGGATTATAATGGTATAATTTATAATAAAAAAGAAAAATATTATTTATTGTTTTTTAGTTAGTCTATAATCATATACTTTTAATTTGATAAAAATGTAAAATTTAAAAGGAAAATGTAAGAGAGATAAAACAAAATAATTCATAATACTTAATAATATGATTAAATCCAAAAGTATTAAATATTGAACACATTTTGAAGATAATTGATGTATTTTAGTTTATATATGATTTATGTTAATATGATAAAAATGTAAAATGAAAGAAACAAGGAATATAAAGTAAATTAAATGATTAATATTAAGAAATTAACAATGATTTATGTTGCTCTAAAAATTTGTATATTTAGCATAATACACCGTAACCCCTTAAAGATTTGAAGATGATGAAAACTTTTTTTTTGTGATTTGTAGACTAGACTCTTACACAAATCTCTTTTATACAAAGACCAAGAACCAACCAACAAATCTATATTAATATTATGAAGAAAAATATAGATATTTTTTTATAGTCAAATTTTAAAAAAAAAATCTAGGTTCCCTTTTACATAAATGGAGATTCAAAAAGAGAAAAATAACCAAATAAAAAAAACAAAAATAAACAAAAACGCAAAGTATACAACAGTGGCCCACGATCTGAAAGTCGAGATTTAATTCGACCGTTCGATTCTGAATTTAAAATAAATACCATACAAAAGTTAGGAATAAAACCCATAAAATGTCATCAATATATATATATATATAAGAAAAGTTGAATAATTAAATACAGGTTTCTTAAAGATAATTTAAAATAATAAAATAACTGTATATGAAATTACGGTGTTTTCAATGATAAGATCTACTAGAATTTTATGTTGCCCATCTTTTTATATATACCGTAAAAGATTTTTTTAATTCTGAAGCTGCGAAAGCTAATGCCTTCTCATAGACCGTGATATTATTTTCTATTTTTAGAAATCAAACCGCCAATCTTGGTTGTTTTATATTTGTGGGTCTTCCCCACTTACTAATTGTATATAATAAACATATATATCGTTATCATTCATAGAGACTGGAGCAGCAGCAGAGACGGATACCTGTCGAGCAGAGACTGTAGCTATCACTTCTTGTTTTTGCTTTTCAAACTACTTCGATCGAGGTTTTCGGAGAAATGGGGCCGGCGTTTGATCCGAACTAAACTTCCAATCTTATAAATTTCTTGAAGCCGTTTCTTGATTCCAGCCAGTATCAAGTCTTATTGAGTTTTCAACTTGAGAGGTATTTTCTCTCATGATGCTCTATTTTAACTTGCAACTTGCACGGTCTTTGTGTTGATTTCGTTGTTTATCTGCTTAATTTGTTTATCGTTGATGTGGGTATTCTGTCAATTTCATGTCTATTCACTTCCATTTTTTGATGTTTTGTACCTTTGATGATTCTGTGGGCCATCTGTTCTACCAAAAATATACCAGCAAACAGAGGTTGAAGTTCTAATTGGTGGCATAAATCGCTATACCCATCAAAAAATAGGGGGTTTGCTTCAATTTTGATCACCATTTTACTTATGAAATTGGATTCCCCAGTGAAACATTGCAATCTACATTTCTTCTTTTTAGTGGTGGGGTTTCAAAGATTTTACAACTTTATAACGACAATGATTTGTTTGCGAGTGTAATTTGTATGGATTGCAATCAGATAGAGAAAAACAATGCTCAAGGGTGTTTCCCTCTTTGATTCATGAACCTGATCATTCTTAGTTGCTGTGGTTTGTATCCAGATCTGGGTTCCATGGCTTCTTCAAGGCCTAATGAATCTTCCAGCAATTCTGCTAGATCAAAGCACAGTGCTAGAATCATTCAGCAAACAACTGTTGATGCAAAGCTCCATGCCAATTTTGAGGAATCCGGTGAATCGTTCGATTATTCAAGTTCGGTTCACGTTAGCAGCACGGTTGGTGGTGGAGAACAACCGCGTTCCGATAAGGTAACCACCGCGTATCTGCACCACATTCAAAAGGGCAAGTTGATTCAACCTTTTGGATGCTTATTGGCTCTAGATGAAAAAAGTTTCAAAGTAATTGCCTACAGTGAAAACGCTCCCGAAATGCTTACCATGGTAAGCCATGCGGTTCCCAGCGTCGGAGAAAATCCGCTTCTTGGGATCGGCACAGACGTAAGAACGATATTCGCCGGCCCGAGTGCAACCGCCTTGTTTAAGGCCTTAGGATTTGGGGAGGTTTCATTACTAAATCCGATATTGGTTCACTGTAAAACTTCCGGAAAGCCATTTTACGCCATCATCCATAGGGTTACCGGTAGTTTGATAATAGATTTTGAGCCCGTTATGCCTTATGAAGTCCCGATGACTGCCGCTGGTGCCCTCCAATCTTACAAGCATGCAGCCAAAGCCATAGCTCGGTTACAATCTTTGCCAAGTGGTAGCATCGAACGGCTCTGTGACACGATGGTCCAGGAGGTTTTCGAGCTCACGGGCTATGATCGAGTCATGGCTTACAAATTTCATGATGATGATCATGGTGAGGTGGTTGCCGAGATCACTAAACCTGGGCTCGATCCGTATCTTGGCCTTCATTATCCGGCTACAGATATACCTCAGGCTGCACGGTTCTTGTTCATGAAGAACAAGGTTCGAATGATTTGCGATTGTCGAGCCAAAAACGTGAAAGTTCTTCAAGATAAGAAACTTGCGTTTGATTTAACGTTATGCGGGTCCACGCTCCGGGCCCCACATAGTTGCCATCTCCAGTATATGGAGAACATGACCTCCATTGCGTCTTTGGTGATGGCGGTCGTGATAAACGACATGGATGAAGACGGAGAAAACTCTGATCCGGCTATGAATCCACAGAAAAGAAAGAAACTTTGGGGTTTGGTCGTTTGCCATAACACGACTCCAAGATTCGTACCGTTTCCCCTTCGGTATGCATGTGAGTTTCTGGCTCAAGTTTTTGCCATTCACATCAACAAAGAACTCGAACTCGAAAACCAGATTCTTGAGAAGAATATCCTGCGGACGCAAACCCTTTTGTGTGATTTGCTAATGCGAGATGCACCATTAGGGATCGTGTCACAGAGCCCCAATATCATGGATCTTGTTAAATGTGATGGGGCCGCTCTCTTATACAAAAACAAAGTCTACCGAATGGGTGTTAGCCCCACGGAATCTCAGATTTACGATATAGTTTCGTGGCTATATGAATACCATATGGATTCCACGGGATTGAGTACAGATAGCTTGTATGATGCTGGATATCCCGGGGCTCTTGCTCTTGGTGATGTGGTTTGTGGGATGGCATCTGTTCGGCTAAGTGAAAAAGATATTCTTTTCTGGTTCAGATCCAACACAGCTTCTGAGATCCGATGGGGTGGTGCGAAACACGAAAAGGGTGAAACGGATGATGGTAAACGGATGCACCCACGGTCTTCGTTTAAAGCTTTCTTGGAAGTTGTGAAAAACAGAAGTTTTCCATGGAAGGATTTCGAGATGGATGCGATCCATTCGTTGCAGATTATTATGAGGAATGCTTTGAAAGATAATGACAGTGTGGAGTTGAAGACGGATGTGATTCAGACGACTTTTAATGATCTGAAACTTGATGGGATGCAAGAACTAGAAGCGGTCACGAGTGAGATGGTTCGGTTGATTGAAACTGCTTCGGTTCCTATACTTGCAGTGGATGTTGATGGTCTGATAAACGGATGGAATACAAAGATAGCTGAGTTGACCGGTCTTCCAGTGGAAAAAGCTATCGGAAGCCATCTGCTAAAACTTGTTGAAGATTCTTCGGTCGATACGGTCCAAAAGATGCTGAATCTGGCTTTGGAAGGTATATGTTCTGTTTAATAGGCAATTTATTTCTCAAAACTAAGCACACACATATATATATATATATATATATATATATTATATCATGTTTATTGTTGTTGTGTTTGGTTTCATCTTATGTCCCTTACACCGAACCCTATGCTTGTTCCGCTACAACAAAATCGGCTTTATAGGATGCCAAAAAGTTTATAAAATCATTACATTTGTGTCCCCTATATAGAGGTATTCCAACAAGTTGATAGAATGCTTTTGCACATCCACACAAGTTTTAAGGTTAATTTTGAAATAAAGCGTCCTATGAGTTTTTATATGACCTTATTTGCTAAAGTGTCTTGTAAAACGCGTATCCTATACAAAGATGTGCAATCTTTTGGTCCTATAACACAGTCTGTTAGGACATTTAGACATTTTTCGCGTCCTATAAAAACGATTTTGTTGTAGTGTTTGCACACACTTCTCTGCTACTTACCGCACATGATTCTTGTTAATTTCTCTATTGGATATCTTGTTCGTTTGGTTTATTTTTTCTGTATATTCTTTTTGATTAGGAAAAGAAGAGATGGGTATCCAATTTGAAATCAAAACACACGGATCAAGGAGAGAGTATGGACCAATCACGCTTGTCGTGAATGCTTGCGCTAGCCGCGATTTACACGAAAGCGTTGTGGGTGTATGTTGCATTGCACAAGATATAACTCACCAAAAGACCATCATGGACAAGTTTACTCGAATAGAAGGGGATTACAAAGCCATAATCCATAACCCAAACCCACTGATTCCCCCAATCTTTGGAACCGATGAGTTCGGTTGGTGTTCTGAATGGAACCAAGCCATGTCAAAGTTAACTGGACTGCCAAAAGGAGAAGTGATCGATAAAATGCTTTTAGGTGAGGTTTTCGGGACTCAAACAGCATGTTGTCGGCTTAGTAACAAAGAGGCTTTCGTAAACCTTAGCATTGTTCTTAATAAGGCTATGACCAGCCAAGAACCGCAAAAGATTTCATTCGGGTTTTATGCGAAAAATGGGAGGTTTGTAGATTGCATGTTGTGTGCAAGTAAAAGGGTGGATAGCGAGGGTACAGTTACTGGGATTTTTTGCTTCTTGCAGCTTGCAAGCAAAGATCTTCAACAAGCTATTCATTTTCAAAGAATGTCTGAGAAAATTGCAGCCAAACGACTTAAAGCGTTAGCATATATAAGGAGACAGATCAAAAACCCGCTTTCGGGGATTATATTTTCGAGGGAAATGATGGAGGGAACCGAGCTGGGAGATAAGCAGAAGGAGCTTCTTTGCACGAGTGCTTTGTGTCAACGCCAACTCAACAAAGTACTTGATGACATTGATCTTGATAGCATTGTGGACGGGTATGAATGATTAAAAATATATCAGTTTATGATATTAGTGGTATAGATGAAAGTTCATTTAGGAACAGAAGTTAATATCTTGAGAACCAAATGTTCATGATGAATATTCACAATGAATATTTGGTCCTTCCAAGTACTTATGACATTGATCTTGATAACATCGTGGACGGGTATGATTAGAAGCATCGTCATTGTTAGACCTCCATATATGTTGGAAGCACCATGCTTCTCCTCAAAGGCTTTTTAGGAGAGTTATCTATTGAGGTTTCGAAGTTAATCATATAAGTGGTATAGATATTCATTAATGAATGCAAACTTGTGCAGGTTTTTGGATCTTGAAATGACAGAGTTCACCCTCCAACAGATCTTGGGTGCCTCGATGAGCCAAATAATGACAAAGAGCAACATAATGGGCATTGAAACAGTGAATAATGTATCAGATGATATGTTGTCACAAAAACTATATGGTGACAGTGTGAGGCTTCAACAAGTTCTTGCAGATTTCTTGTCACTGTCGGTCGCTTGTACACCATCCGGTGGTCTACTCTCCGTTGCAGCTAATATGACCAAAGATCATTTATCCAAATCAGTTCAACTTGTGAATTTAGAAATCAGGTATATATCTACTTTCTGGCACTAAAAAATCTGACTTTTATAGTACACAAAAATGTCTAAATGTCCTAATAGACTGCTTTATATAACTTCAAGTTATAAGACCAAACAATTGTGCATCATATGTAAATGCTTTGCAATAAGTTTATAGGATATTTGTGGGCATCCTAACAAGTTATTTTGGGAACTTTTGAAATGAAGTTATTAGCTTTTCTATACGACATTTCTTCGAAGTGTCATAAGAAAAGAGTCTTTTTTAGAGGACATTTGATCTTGTAAGACATTTATTTAAATAATGTCATATAAAGAAAGCTAATTATTCTAAAATTGTACGTAAAAACATGTTAGGATCCTTAAAACATCCTATCAACTTATTAAGCATATTTACATACGACGCATCATTGTTTGTTCATATAAACTGATGTCCTACAAAAACAGTCTATTAGTCCTATAAACTTTGATTTTGTTTTAGTGAATATACTTTCTGGGCTGAAATTTTAGCCAAGACATGTTGATTCTTGGATGATTATATGTTGATTTGAACGTAGGATAACGCATACGGGAGGTGGGGTGCCGGAGGAGCTGTTAAGGCAGATGTTTGGAAGTAGTGCAGATGCAACGGAGGAGGGAATAAGTTTGGTGATTAGCCGGAACCTATTGAAACTTATGAGCGGGGACGTGCAATACCTGCGAGAGTCCACGAGATCGACGTTCATCATTTCTGTTGAACTTGCATATGCTGGTGCTAACATACCATAATCAAGATTTCTTTCTCTCTTTTGTTGCTTTTTTTTGTATGAGTTTTGAGTTTGTGTTTATTTGCAAGTGTAATGATGGATGTTGCCGCGTTTGGGAATAATAAATTTGCAAGCCATAGTGTTTGATGTTTATAATGCAGCTACCATTTCAAATGAGCATCTCCAATGAGAGCTTTTTTGTAAAATTAGAACTTATTACTATTTGGAAAAAGTTTTTAAAAAAGATAATTGCAATTAGGGATGAATCCCTGGCACGGGTCTTGGTTCACATACCTTGTCACCATCCCGATCCCCATCCCGAGTTCCTGGCAAGTATGGGGAATCGAATCACTTACGTGTTGGGTACAATTGCCATGCCTAGGACTAGGACTAGGAGCAATGACTGGTTTAAAGTTAGAGAAACAAACAATCTACATGCAAGCACAAAAAAAAAAGTCGATAAATGATCCTGAATATCTAAACAAGATGCTCACCAATCAGATAGTTAACAGAAGTGGCCCAAAGATAATTAACTGAAACAGAAAAAAAGCTATACCATAAGATCAAAGCCAATCTCATATGTAACCAAGAAACCCAAATTATAGTAGGTCCAATAGTAAACAACCAAGTAGAGATGAGGTGCAGACCACAAATCACTAAGAAACCAGAGCTGATATAAGAACCAATAATAAAGAAACAACCAGCCCCAAATCAGATGCCAATAAGAAGACGACCAAGGCCTATTAGCCAGCACACATCTGATCCAAAACTGCAGCCTAAGGGAACTCCTTATAACTCCAATGCAAAAGACTGTATAACATAATATGAATCAGGTGCACTCCTCTGAAACAATCATACAAACGACCCATTGCAAACAAGAAATCAAATGTAGCAACCTGCATTGTGGAATTCTAACGATAAATCCATGTATTAAACCTGAGCCAAGGATCTGACAATTACATCAGCCAACCAACAATCACGCTATCAAGATCACTTGACAGACACGTACAAACCACCGTCTAATTGTAAACAAGCCAACCAACAATCCTTCCCTTCAATACATGACCGCATCCCTTGATGAAACGATCAACATCAACATCAACATCAACAATGTGCTTGAATCAAATGATGATTTGTCTAAAGCAATTCCAATTTTAAAATGGAAGATTGGAAGTAGAACAAATACACCATAAGGTGGATTGGAAAAAAAAATATATTGATTACTAAAGAACAAAATCATAAATACATGATCAAATGTTACCGAGGATTCTTGTTATTGCGTTTTGAATTCTGTTGAGAAATCAGGTATGTTTTTCTCTCATTCATCCTATTCGTTGAGGAATGCTTCCTTACACGATATCTATCTATATCTATATCTCTATCTCTATCTATATCTATACTATATTATAAAGTTTTTACAAAAACTCTTAAAAATCATTTTTATATATCATATTACTTAAAATTCAAGATTACAAGTAAATTGTGAGTAAGTACAATTTATTAAAACTTCATGTTTGAATTTGTGTAATTAACTTCAGATAAACATAATGAAGTAGAGGATAAATATATCATTTTAAATATATAAAAAATTAAAATATGATTAGGATAATCTTTAAGTTCTAGCAAAATACATAATCATTATTTTTATAAAAAAATTATATTATTATACCAAAATTAGAAAAATGAATTAAAGAAATACACAAAAAATGAGAAATTTTGAATAGTTAGTATGGTACTAGTATCAATATTTTTTTTTTAATTTTTTATGATATCTTCGTATTTATATTTTATTCAAAAATAAGAACATTATTGTTTTCTCAAAACCACGTAAAACTGTATCATGACATAGATTAAGACAAAAAGAAAAAGAAACACGAAAATCGAGATGTATCTCGCTGTATTGTGCGAGCACCCTTCTAGTATATTATAAAGAATTTGACAAAAACTCTTAAAACCCATTATTTATGCATAAAGTACTCTTTATTAATGCATATTTTTTCTTAAAATTTAATATTACAAATAAATTCGGCATAAGTACAACTTATTAAACCTCCATTTTTGAATTTGTATAACTAACAACAAAGAAACATAATCAAATATACGATAAACATCTCATTTTAAACATAAAAAACCTAAAATATAATTAGGATAATCATTGAGTTCTAATAAAATCATTATATTTATAAAGTTTATATTGTTAAGTCAAAAATAAATTACTTCGCTATCAGACCTAAATTAAATTATAATAAAAAATTGAATTAAAGAAATTGTACCAAAAAACGAGAACTTTTAAATAGTTAATTTGATATTAACATCGATATATTTTTTCAAATTTTTATGATATATTCAAATTTATATTTATTCAAAGCAAAAACAATATATTTCTCAAAACAACATAAACCGTATTATATCAACAGAGACAAAAAATAAAACGAAACACTAAAATGAAGGTGTATCTCGCTGCATTATACGAGTACCCGTCTAGTATTAAAATAAAAAAGAAGTTACAGTTATCTTGACAGTTTCAAGAGAAACAAGTTCTTATGTTAAATGTATAAACTTTAAAAACTTTAAAGCTTACACAACCTCTCACATCTTCCACCTATTGAAAAATCAAATCATTTTTAATTTCTAAGTTACATTTTATACCTTTATAATTAATTACTTAATTTACTTTAAATTCCTTAATGTTTTATTTTTTATTTTATACATTTATCATATTAACATATATAATCATATATGAACTAATGCATTAAAAAATACATTTATGTTTTACGAATTATATCATGATAACGGTCTCGTCAATTCCTTCAAAATGAACTTAATATTGAATATTTTTAAATTTAATTATACCATTAAAAATCATGAATAGATACAAGTTAATTTATTTTATACTTCTTACGGTTTCATTTTTCATTTTACACTTTTATCGTATTAAAAATACATAATTATAGATTAATTAGAACACATTAAAAATGTGTTTTTTTTTTTTTTTGTTACAAGTTATACCTTTATAATTTTGGATGGTAACGGGGGCGAGTCGGATCGGACCGGGCCCCAAAACAGAAAGCCCGATCGAATTTCGGGGGGTTTTACTCGCAAAATGTTAGATAAACCCTGCGAATATCGAGTCAGTTTGGCTCTCGGGCCGGTTCGGTCGAGTTTCGGTCTCCCATTTTCCAGCTTCTTGTCTTGAAAAATTAAAACACAAATCAAAGTATCTAAGCGAGTAACAAAATGATTAAATGACTTACTAATTCTTTGATTTCTATAATAAAATGTAACAGAGGGGTCATGGCTGGTGGTATCGTCTCTTGTGGATTGAGGTCGAAGTTCGAGTGAGGAAGTAAGGAGAGTTGTCGTCATCGACTGAGAAATTTGGTTAGGTTTAATCAAAACTTAGAAGAAAAAATATAATATATTAATTAAAATATCGGGAGACCTGAAGGTTGAATTTGAGAAAGCGCAAAGCTAAAAATCTACCACATTGCCTCCGGTGGGGAGACATAACGCGCATCTTGAAACCTTTTAATCTCATTAATAACATTTTGTCCTTCGTCTGGATCTATATGCATAACTTGTTTATCATGACCTTTGTAAATAGATTTGAAGAGATATTTCACAGATGTTATACTTGAGCAAGCCTCAACATTAATATGACAGTTGAACATCATTAACAATTTTGGGTTATACGGGACAACCCATCTATTATACAGTGTATTGCCCCGTACATTCACATCTCTTCCAATATTTCTCCTCCGGTATAACGGATATGAGTTCTCAGCCTGTGATGTTTTATCGTTGAATTGTCTAGGATATCTAAAATGATAGATTTTCGGCTCACCTTGCATGCAAGGACTGGACGGTCGTAAATGACCGCAAGGACCATGCATCATGTGTTGGACAACCAACTGGTGCATTTCAGGATACTTTGCTGGGTCAGGAATTTCAGTACATACAATATTGTCGTAATGATCTGGATTGGTTATTTTGTCATCAGGTCTCATTATCATGAAAAAATGTGCATACGACAATCCACGCTTCTAAAACTCGATGACATAAACATACGCCTTGACAGTGCCGAGGATCTTCTTCTAGAAGAGTTGGTCCTTGAGATCCTCTAATTTGGCATGAAAAATTCTTGCAACAAGGTCCGGTCGATCTTGTGCAGTCTGACTGGGCAATAGCTCTTTAAGGATTTTTGGCCATTTTGGATTACACGTCATTGTAAGGAATATATCGGGTTTTCTGTCATCTTGAACTAAAGCCATAGCATCCAAAAATCGTCGCCACTTGTCACGTGGGCCTCCTATAAAACTTGCAGGTAACACAACTCGTTGTCCAACTCTACTTGGTTGAACTTCACCGACATTAACGCAATCCACAATGCCTTGATATAAATCTACTTGGTTCGAAATGTTCTCACGTATGGATTCATAGCAAGAACACGCGTCAAAATGTCAATGATACTTCTATCAAGATTGGGCCATTGGAGTCTATGTGAAAACTCAGACTCAGCATCATAAAAATATAACTKTAAATACCTAGGTCGTCCATCCCTTAGAACTAACTGATCAATTTTATGATATACTCCTCCATGTGCAYGAAAAGTATATACACCGGATGTCATATTATTCATTRTCTCATCCAAAGTTACACCYATCGATGTGAAAGAAAAGTTCGTGTTGTATGCACGTATGTTGTGCCTAAACATTTTGCCCAATTCAGATTATGATGTGAAGAGATTGTATAATTCTTCGGAAATGGGAGAGTATKCTWACTTTGTCTTCCCACTCATGCAGCAGAAGGAAGGGAATTCAAACTTGAATCATTTTGCTCCGCAATGAGTACATGCAAGTTGTTCATTCAAAAGGCGATGTTCCTTAGGTATACGCCTGTAAATATAATCKTRTGGATCTTCCTCAAGGGTGCCATTTCGGTTCGATGAGTTGACAATGACCACAGTAGAGGTTTCTACATCTAAGACATTTGAATGTAAAAATATGGTTAACATTTAAGAACTAAACCTATGTAAAAATATACTTATCATTAAAGAACTATATTTATGAATACAAGAATGTAAAAAGTAAAATTAAATAATAATTTACAAAACTATAAATGTTTTGTTGGAAAAAAGTTGCATCATATATGAAGTTACGA